GGTAAAGAATCTGAATAGAATATTTACGGGAGTAGAACAGTGGTAGCATGACAGAATATTAGAATACTAGTAGAATAAAAGTATAGCTATGCGCTAAAATATATTAACATAAGTCGTTCCAAAGGCGATTATTGTCGTTCTGACCATATTTTTCGTGCAGTGAATCATCATTGCAATGAATCTGATTAAGTTAATCGGTGATGTCCTGCTCCGATCTAAATCAGAACTGCCATTTTCTGTTAAGAGGGAACACACATATAATCTACTTCAGTGATAAAACAGGATATTGAAACCAAATCTATTTGCCCCACTATTTGTCTTCTGATTGAATATCATAATGGCACAACCATACTGCTACTAATTACCATCACTTCGTTAACTGATCCTTCAGGGTTGATCTCGTCTTCGCCTTGCCGTCACGACTGAGCAGAATATATCCTATCAAACCCTATTGGCCCTGGCATATACCCCATGCCATACTCTAGTCGTCAAAGCCATTCACGATGTGGAAGCGATATCTGCGAGGTAATTCATTAACAAACATCAACCGTAGCTAACACTGTCTCAAACGTGATAGCTTAGTATCACTTATGTTTATTCAAGGATAAGGGACATCAGCTGAAGATAGTTACCATGACTCGGCCAACAGACGAGATGAGATTCTGCTAAAGCATTAAAGTAGAAATGTTTCCTAATTGAGATTAAGTCCAGAAAAGGCAGTAACATTAAGGCGCAAGTTTGAAATTGTAGACACTGCATCACAGAGAAAAACATTACACTGACACAACAATAAAAAGATCAATACTTCGAGCAAAAACTCTCGGCGAAAAACTGGTCCAAAGACAACATCTTCTAATCCTGCCACATCCGAAAGGTTAAAAGTAGTTTGATCATTAGGAACGATTATGAGCTGTTCAGTTCTGTAGAACGGCCTAAATTACAACTGCAAGCTGAAATGATCAAAAGCTTGTCGTTAAAATAGCATACCCGAAACGAGCTTCAAAGTCGTCTTTCTCTTTTCTGGTCTGGCTGCTAGGATTCGACCATATCTCCACTGGATCGGCAGAAATTCTTACGAACACTATTCCGCAAGAGCACACAACAGCTACAAAGAAGCTGCAAGTTGCAACGACGATGGCGTGGCGGGAGCAAAATGCACCCCATCGGTAAGACGTTGTCTCGACTGATCTTCGGATCCACAAACGACATTGAGCAAGTAACGAAACGCGTTCCTCGAATTTCACTACCGCAGATTCACATACAGCCAGTTCAGCACTATTCCGCACAATTAAGTACCGAACCCCGACGGCTACAAAAACGCTGCAGGCCATGAGGAGCAGCACAACGGACGCAAACGGAAAACAATTCCATCTTCCAACAATACCTCTAACTAAACGAAAGCAGTAAGTGTTAATTATCAAACCAAGTTTCAACAGCACGCGTTGACTCAAGAGCTGTGTCAACTTCAGGCGAATGTTTCTTTCAAGTGCCGAGCACTTTCATTGCGAAACACGCGTTTTAAAAACGCAACACATCTACACACGTGTCATGCTCTGTTTAAAGGGCAGATGGCATGATGATAAAAAGAATTTACCGCGCTCTCTTCTAAGATAAATACAGCCTATGGATAATCTTTCTGTTAGGATTTGCAGTTAGAGACTGCTCTGCTGCACATATCTGTTTTAATAATACGAAGCGATCTGTTAATCTCCGATGACTACTGTCTTGATAGGCACCGTTTCGAGATTCGTGACAGAATTTAATATATACTATAATGACTGAGGAAACCATAATTATAGGAAACTTCATCTGAGCAATGTAAAAAACTTTCTGACCTAGACTTTTCGCTATAAACTAATCAAAATAAACGCAAAACTATTATTTATATTATTTTTTTGAAGCTCTGCCTTTCGGCTAACCGAAACAAACTTCGGTTGTTCGTGCGACCGCCACATCACTTGCATGGTAGGTCATCCTACTAAACCATATCGGTGTATGTGTCATGATAACACGAAACTGCTGTGTTGCTGCATCTCTTATGTTCCCCTCGATATACTCATAGCAGCACATGCGTTGCATTCAACTGATAGTAAGTCAGAGAAGCTGTCATCAAGAGTACAAAACTGCAACAGTCAGAGCAGTGAAATCTTCAAACACACTCGTAAACCATGTCCGGCATAACCAGAGCCAAATACTTGCCGATCATAAATCCGACGGTTTATCAACGCGGTGAGAGAACTTATAGCCGCGCTTGCATTTAGAAGACTTATAAACTGCAAAACACCAGCGCAAAATGCCGGATAAACAATATCATGACATAATGAGTCGAACATTTTGCTCATTTCCTGGTACAAAGTAACTTTTCTTGAAATGGGAACTACTCATTCACGCTAAACCAAACATTACCTTCCTTGTGCGTCGGATATTCGACCATGGAGGTGCAAGACTCTTCACAATCGGAGCAGCTGCAAGGCAAAGAGTTTTCACCTACTCCGCGATTGCATGGAACAACAGAGCGATTCAGGGGCATAAACGGTGAAACGTCAGAGTTCGTCGGTATCACATGAAAATCGATGTCAAAAGGAGCGAAGGCGTTTTTAGAGCGACTGCCCATAAACGAGAGCCATTGGGAGAGCTCGCATTTTCCAGCGCTGGTTCCTGCAATTGCAAAAATATAGCAAGCATCATCAGTATCTTTAAAAGAACAAAATTTCAGGAGGTCGCCAGGCTTAAAGAGAGCAGCCTAAAGAATATAAAACTACAACCGCGGGGATTAACAGTACATGGTTATAAGAAATGACTGGCGAAGGTATACTTACTTCAAATTCATACTGAATTACAGATATATTATAACCAATAAGCCAATGTTAGACAAAACACATTTTAAAACATGCAGTCATTAAAATGACAGAATTTAACAGTCAACTGTCAAAGTCCATAATTTAACGGGTTCATGTACCTACTTGTGTTAAGGAAACTCCAGTCTGAGTCTGAATACATCTATGCATAATCAAAATGGAGTCCCAAATTTATGTGCAAAGGAACACTAAAATATATCCACTAAGGACATGGATAACTCCCCTACAAGACTGGATGCGTAGCTGAACCAATCTTTCTCAGTGACGCAACGGCCTTTCGCGCTAAGTTACGGACTAACCTCCAATCAATCAACCACTGCGTGAAAGAGCTACTGTCACTGACTCTGACCGCTCTCCATATTCAAAATTTTTTGCGTGACTACAGATTTACGAAGAGCGTCACTACCGAAGCAACCGATCTACTCTATTTTGAATTTGGCCTCACCAATTGGCGTACCTCCTACGACGATGACATGTATGACTATGCGTCAGCAAATTTTGACAATGTTAAGTTCGTCTTTGACAGTTGTTGCCCTCTAGAAAAGGTCAATGATCTAGTCACTGTTCCTCCCTAGTTCTTGAACATCTCTGACGTAAAAGAGAACAGTATTCGAACAGAGGAGAGCGAATCAAATGCAAAATGCACAAGTGAAAATCACTGCAGAGGTCAAGCGATTGAATATTTGGCAAATGAATGCAAATGCCAGAATCTCTAACTACCCGCAACTATGAAATAAACTTAAATCTACCTGTAGACATAAGCTCAACATCTCCCTACCTAATCGTCAACCAAGTGACTCAATTGATTCTTTCTTCGTCATGAGAATGGTGCAGTATATTACAGACATTCCGCATATGCCACAACTTAACCATCCTCGACGAGGAGAATCCAACTTTTAAAAAATCTGATGTTGCACGTTGCTCTCGAGGACTGCGCTCATTCTCAGAAGCCGGGTACGATGGTGTGTCACTCTTATCTTAAAATGCTGTTCCGTTGAGCCAAACAACATGTTTGCTAACTATATCAACCATTGCTGAAAA